GTGTATCACCTCCTGTCCCAGCAGAGGCCGTGACTCCAGAGAATGCTTGACTTTGTTCTCCTCCTTCACTGGCAAGAGAGATTTGAGGAACTTGGGCGGTTGAGGAGACAGAACCTTAAACGGACTGGAGTTGAAGAACGTTGGACTCTCTGGCACCGATCCTGAGGAGAATGTTTGCATGAAATGATGCATAAGGGTGTCTAAATGCACTACAAAGAATAACTTAAAAGTATTGAAACCCAAAATTGAGAAATTTATGGTAAATGTAGCCTTTTAGCACTCTTTAAAAAATATTGTATTATTATTAAATATTATTATAATTATTATAAGAACAATCATAATTTCTATTTAATTATAAATATTTCTTTATTTGAATTTTATTTTTATAAGTGTTGAAAAGTACCATTTACTACTAATAATAATAATGTACTAATCCTAATCCTGAGGAATATATACTAATCCCGAGGAAAACGTTTGCATGAAATGATGCATAAGGCTGCTTAAATGCACTATAAAAGAAAAAGGTCAAGGTGGAAGATAAGCCCACAATGGAGAAAATATTGTAAATGTAGCTTTTCAACACTCTTAGAAATTACATAATACATGTTATTATTATTATAAAATAATAGTTCATAACAATAATAATAACAATCAAAATTTTTATTCACTATTTTCTTTTATTTTTAATTGTTGAAAAGTTACATGTACCATTTAACACCAATAAGAATTGTTTTTCAAATTATGAAAAATTATTTTAAACAAATATTTTTAGTTTAATAATCATAATAAATTGTTTAGTTGTTTAAATTGTTTAGTAATAATCTTCAATAATTTAATATTGTTTTAACTACAGTAATGGGTTTTATAAAATTAGAATGCTTGCTTAAAAAAAAAGTCTTTCAAATAATCTCGGGTGAAAGCCAGGTTCACAATTTACCGTGATTCTCTTTGTTTTTGACAGGCGTGTCTTTTGACAGAGGACTGTTGAGTGAAGTTTCATGTAAGTTGGATTCAGTGACGTCTGTGTGACCATCGCAGTGAGTCTGTGGAAATAAAGTCAACGCTCAGACAGAGACATTCACAACAAACACACTGTCTATAGTAAGTGATCACAAACCTTTACATCCTCATCCTCACATCCGGTCCCGTCCGATTTACAACAAGAGCTCTAAACAAATATATATTATAGTCCTGTTACACAATGCACAGTATTTTGTTTCTGTACACTAGTAAACGGTAGATCTGGTCTTACGTGCTGGACGTTGGGCGTGCTGAGACTGCGCCGTATGTGTCTGCCTTTAGCGGAGAGAGCTTCCTTCACCGTCACGGCCTGAACGAACACACAAACACACACTAAACGCGTGATCAACCGATAATCGGTTTGACTGATATCTTTCACAATATTTAAGCATTTTTCATAATTGGATATTGTTTTGTAATATTGGATCCACCAATAAATGCCGCCATCATGTGATCGTTTTGAGATTTGAGTTAAAGATTTCAGGTAAAGTAATCGTTAGAAAAAAAAACAATATCGGTCAATCTCTATTAAACACTCCAGCAGAAACAGCAGATAGAAGTAAAACAATAAATATTGGTTCTGCATATTGGTTATTGGGCACATAAACCTGCTAATAATCTGCATCCGTATCGGTTATAAAAAAAACAAAAACAATATCAGTCGATCTCTACTAAAAGCTCCAGCAGAATCAACAGATAGATGTAAAACAATAAATATTGATTCTGCAAAAAAAAACAAAAAACAATTATCAGTCGATCTACTAAACACTCCAGCAGAAACAGCAGACAGAAGTAAAACTAAATATATAGTGATTCTGCATATCTGTTATCAGACTCATAAACATGCAAATAATCTATATCGGAATTGGTTATTTAAAAAAATCAATGTCTGTCTATCGCTGCTAAACACTCCAACAGAAACAGCAGTTAGAAGTTAAACAATAAATAAACATTGGTTCTGCATATCGGTTATCAGCACATAGACATTCAAATAATCTGTATCAGTATCGGTTATAAAAAAACTAAATAAATATTGGTTCTGCATATCGGTTATCTGGCATATAAACATGCAAATAACAGTATTGGTTATTAAAAAAAATCAATATCGTTCAATCTCTACTAAACACTAACAAAAACAGCAGATAGAAGTAAAACAACAAATAAATATTGGATTTGAATATCGGTTATCGTGCACAAAAACAAGCAAATAATCGGTATCAAAAAATAAATAAATAAATAAATATATCGGTCGAACTCTACTAAACACTCCAGCAGAAACAGCAGACAGAAGTAAAACTAAATATATAATGATTCTGCATATCTGTTATCAGACTCATAAACATGCAAATAATCTATATCGGCATTGGTTAATAAAAAAAATCAATGTCGGTCTATCGCTACTAAACACTCCAACAGAAACAGCAGTTAGAAGTTAAATAATAAATAAACGTTGGTTCTGCATATCGGTTATCAGCACATAGACATGCAAATAATCTGTATCAGTATCGGTTATAAAAAAAAAAACTAAATAAATATTGGTTCTGCATATCGGTTATCGGGCATATAAACATGCAAATAACTCAATATCATTCGATCTCTACTAAACACTAACAGAAACAGCAGATAGAAGTAAAACAATAAATAAATATTGGTTCAGAATATCGGTTATCGTGCACAAAATCATGCAAATAATCGGTATAGATAAAAAAAAAACTAAAAAAACTATATCGGTCGACCTCTACAAAACACTCCAGCAGATAGTGAGAGAAATCTGTCCTAAAGTGAAGCCAAACCTGCCGCAGTCTCTCCAGACACAGAATATTGTCCACCTCCAGGACTCCTCTGGTGTATTTCTCTATGTATGTCTCTCCATCGAATGTCTCCTCGCTCTCTCCTCGCGCCGCCATCAAGGCCAGAGTCTCGCGCTCCTCCGGCTCCTCAGACGCCTGTTCATGAATACAGCAGGTGTGTGATCAGTGCATTCAGAAAGACAAACATGAAGAGGAAACAGTGTGAAGTTTGTACCTTTGGTATGTTGGACACGATCTCATACGTCACTCCACAGGAGTACAGAATGTTCTTCAAAGACATCCGTCTCTTCAGGCTCTGAGTGAAACTCTATGAGAGATCCATCATGTATTTACATTAAACAAGATAATACACTACCAGTCAAAAGTTTTTGAACAGTAAGATTTTTTATGTTTTTAAAGAATTCTCTTTTGCTCACCAAGCCTGCATTTATTTGATCTAGACATGTGCCGGTATTCGGTAATGCGATATATCATGATAATGAACATACACGATATTGTTACCGTGGGCACTTCAAAATACAGTAAATAATTATTTATTACAAATTATTCAGATTTTTTGAATGCATTTTAAGAATACTTTTCCCATCAACTGGTCACAATGCACAACACCGCTGTATGCTGCGTTAAAGATGCGTGTGCACTCTGATGTAAACAAGCACGGATTGTACTTGCACAATTGCACACTAATTGCACAAGCTGCACTACTTTCTAAAACGTATTTAAATGGTTTAAATAGCCATTCAGATTTTTGTATTCGCAGTGGTGTTCATCACAGAGCCAAATACTTAAATATTTAGACTTAATAGGCTATTTATTTTGAAACTTTTTTTACATTTTAATCTGGACTACAACATGCCCTAGATATTGTTTGAAAATGTTTTGATTCTTTATTGTTTGGTCACACTTTACATTAAGGCTCTATTAATTGACATTAGTTAATTCATTAGTTAACATAAACTGCCAATGAAAAATTCTTCTCAACATTCATTAATCTTAGGTATTCCAATATTTAATAACAGGATGTTAAAATCGAGAGTT